GGAAAATATGAACAGCGGTGTTTTCTTGTAAGACGACAGTCTGATTATCGCTTGACAGTATTTAATGATAACTATCGGAAATGGAAGCAAGCCAACTTTCACAGGCTCGGGTGTGGGTGTGGGGGTCTGGGTGGGGTGGACAGCCAGACGACAAAATCGATTTTCGAGATTTGAACCCATATTGCAGCTAGCATTGAAGCTAGGTATGGTGCTGCGTTTTAGCGCATCCTGATTGCTGTTTTATAGCGAGTATCTGTTAAAAGGCAGATACCGCAAAGTACATAAAATAGACGAACATCATTGATGGAACCATATAAGGAAAATATATTTTTTAAATTGACGATCTAGTTATATTCATTAGTTATCATATAATTATACAATGTTATGTATTTACCATATATTACAGGCCATTCGAACGTCTTAAAGTTCTTGAGGCTATAATAAGAGCAGAAACTTTGGCCCTGTATAGTGAAAAATAGGTACTAGCCAGTAATGCAATTCGTTTCCCAGAACTTTAATTCAAGTTCTGAATTGTTATCTGGTAGAGCATATCATCATCTATCTTCAGTGGATGCACAAAGATGCACCAGTGGACTCTTGTCTAGTGATTTGATTTTTACGCTATTGTAGCACAACGCCATGGTCCCCCTCAGATTCATCTGAAAAATCAGCTTTAGAATTTCGCTTTGAAACTTTGCGCCAAGAAGGGTGTCAATGAGACTAGTTATTCCTCAAAATTTCAAATTTCTTGTTTGCTCCTATCCTTAAATATGAACATTTCACATTTTGTACTATAAGCGATGTGAATAGGAATATTTTTTCTTAGACCCGTATCTCAGGATAGAAGCAACCCAAAAATCCAAAACTTTCAGAATAAACTAGTCTCATTGACACCTTTCTCTGGGCAAAGTTTCAAGTTGAAATTCGAAAATTGATTGTCCAGGTGAACCTGAGGGTAAACCACGGCTTTTTGCTAAAAGATGCCTTGAGAATTAAATATCTCGACAGAAATAAGCTATAAACACGAACTCTTTTCAGGATATTCATAGCTCATTAGAGCCTACATAATGCGCATAGCCTAAATTCAAAAGCAATTTGGCAACTGGAAATTGCTCTTGATCCTCTTTTCTGCGCACTGTGGGGTGTGCGTGGGTGAGTGTGGGTGTGGATGAATAGAATAGATTCAACGACGCGCGAACTCACACCCACACCCTAGCTCGGTACTATAACATTTGCAAGAATACCATGATTGCTGAATTTCAGATAAATATCTATGATAGACTTTTTACTTGATAAATAAAATGGTTAATGTAATCGTTATATATTTCACTAAGAAAAGTATATATAATTCTTGCATCAAACACCTCTTCATTGGAATGTGTTTCAAGAGTTGGTAACAGATTGCAGCAGTTAGTTGTATGTTTGAGTGTTTCTCTTCTCTGTCGAGATGGCTTTGATGGACGAGAAGCTTTTAAATTGTTTTTTCGAACTTTACATGGTTTTGAATTGCGATTTTTAGTTTTCTTCCAAGATCGTCTTGATTTCCATTTTTTATTGTCAGATCGTTTTCTAGCCATAATAAGAAATTATTTTAATATTTGAATAAAAATATTTGGATTATCGTGTTTTTGTTTTTTTCGATAAAATTTACTTTCAATTTTATTGAATGTTGAAAGATGACTATTTAATTTCAATAATATTCTATATATTTTTCTTATATAGAACAGGTATTTCGAATTATCTAAGTGAAGCATGTTTAATCGAACTATTTTTTTTTCACGTTCAATAAATTCTTCTTATTGATTTATTTCAAAATGAAATCAACGAAACAAGATACATTTCTTATTGAACATGCTCGAAGAATGCGTAAATGTTGACAAAGACAAAAGGAAAGCGATCCAGAAGCATATAAAAATCGTGTACGGAAACAGAAAATTGACTATCACTTAGGTGCACGCTTTAATGTTTTATCAGAAAATCAAATAACACAAAAAAAGGAAGAATCATTAATTAAAAATCATAATAAGATCCGAGAACGATTACGGTGTTATCGACATAATCAATCAAATCAGCAAAAGGAATTACAACTATCAAAGGATCGAAATTATAAATGCTTGAAACGTGAGAAAGAACGAACAGATGCCTCAAACAAACAGATGAAAAACGAAACAAATATAACATCTAATTTGCTTCATCCAATTAAAAACTATCGTGTTATGAATAAAACAACATATATCTTTTTTCAATGATTGTACTAAAATGATTCTGTGGATTTTTATGATTGTTTTATGTTTACTTCGTTCCCGGAAAAACGTTATCAATAAAACAGATATTTTTTATGTCTTTGACTGCTTAACTTTAATAAATTGTTTCTAAGGTTGATAAAATAGAAACGAGAAGTTTTTAGAAGATATTCGTATTCTGTGCTTATAAGTGTCCGGGCTGAATGATATTTTTGATCCTTGACTAAGTAGAATTGTCTGTAATGATATCATAGCTATAGAGGTTCTATTTCATGGTGTACAACATCTCTATACTTTGTGTCTTATGGATAGTGACGGTTTCTCATGGTTTCTGTTGCGCTGTGCGACATATCCAAACCGTATCTGTATCACTGTTTTCTCGGTTGCAAGACTGTTTGATGCAGTCTCTTACGGCAGCAAACACCTGTCTGTAACGATCTGGGGATGGGGGGAGGAGAGAGAAACCAAATTTCTACCCTAAACACTTCAACACTCCTTTCAGATCGTGTTTCACAAAACTCAAACAATATCGTATGCATAGCATAAACGAGATTTGCTGCAAGATCTGCCTGAATTTTTTATTTCATCGAAGTCGTTGGACTAGGGTGAGATTTTTACTAGCATAGTTAAAAAAATTTGCATGTTAAAGTTTGACGATGTAGAACTAATATTCTTCTACTATCTAGAATAGTCGACTTGCGATGGGTCAATGTGGATCTTTTTGTTCTCTCACACCCCACACCCACCTCATCAGTAAATTTAATTCCCTGTGATACCTTGAAGTAAAGTCTATATTAAAAACTCTAATAAAATCCTTCATTTTTTTTTAGCAGAAGAATATCAACTTCTTTTTTATGGTAATTTATTCCGATCGGTTCAACTGACAGCGCAAAACGTGGACGTCCTTGCAAAGTTCGCCATGCCGTCCAACATGTCAAAAAATTATGCCGATAGTATTGATATTTTAATAGATAAAAAACCATTTTTGCGGTAGCTACTAATTTAAAATTACTGTTTCAATGCCGAAAACTGTTCAAACTCTCGATTTTTCTACTGGAATACTCGTAAAAATTAGTCCACTATAGGAATGGCCAATCATGACAGTCATAGAAGAATATTGTATTTTCCTACACCATTGATGGGTGTGGGTGTCATTCTGATGGTAGATGAGCATTTTACATGTAAATTCACACCCAAATCCATATCCTAAAGCAATTAGACAAAAGGAATCCATATCCTGTCTATTTAAAGATTATTTCATGTTCTAATCGAAAGATTACGTTTGAAAAAACAAAAGAAAAGGTAACAGTTAAATTCTTTGTTAAGTATTTGATGACAATTTTAATTTAATTTCTTCCAATGACTGATTTAATTGAGCTAGATTATTTTGCATTTGTCGTACACTTTCTTCGCTTGATTGAGATAATTTTGTTAAATCATCTTGCATTTGTTGTAGATTAGTTGTTAATTTATTTGAAGCATTTTTAGTAACATTTGAATCTTTGAGATTTTCAGTATTATCAAAATTTGCATCTTGATTTGATCTAAATCAAGAAAAAAAAATGTCCAGTTAAAATCTTATTTGACCTGTGTTCCAATAAATTACTTGATTGATGTAGATTTTGATCCTTTAGCTTCCGTATGAGCATATTCATATGTTGTTGCACCTTCAAATTCATGCCAATCTTTAATTAATTTTTTTGTTTTAGGAATTATTTCTACAAGAAATATTCAAAATTTTTAAAATAATATAATTAAATAACTTCAGTTTACCGAATACTCTTGCAGGACAATCCGCTGGTTTTTTCCAACAAGCTCGTCTTATGGAAAAAACTATGGTACGACAAAGATGATAAGTATCAACTATGAAACTTATTGGTGGAAAGAATGGCGAACGTTTAAAATATTCATATGTAAATGAATATTGTTGAGAATGCCAAATATTTTTTGTATCTTCATACACTTGATCAAATCGTTTACTTCAATAATTATGATTAAAATATGCCTATTTCGATTAACTAATTATTATATTCAATAATTACTTACCTAAACATTGCAATAAGCAAGTTTGTAAGTAGAATATTTACAAAAAGCATTTGGATAGCAAGCAATACATGCGTTGCAATAGACCAACCAGCATCAGGATATGCTATTCGAATGGAAAACAGATTTTATGATGACGTTTATTCTATGAAAGTATCATTTTAGATTTTCAGTTTCAAAGAAATCGAAATACATCTCAATTCAACTTATTCTAAATATATTGAAAAATTTAATCCTACGCACATATATATCTAACGAAAGAAAATCTCTTAATATTAAATTGTCTTTCGACACATGCAATGAAATATTACTAAATAAGAGAAAATATTGTTATGGAATTATTTAATTGTTTAAGTTTTATCATTTTATTTCGAAAAATATAAATCCAATAAAATGAATATATTTCAAAATAGAGATCCAAACAGGCTGCGTTTTTGAAAGCCCTGTCCGTCTATGAAGCTTTTTTCAAGCGAATACAATAATGATGATAGAATAGAAATAAAAATATGATTATAGAGAGCAAACAAAATCGTTTAAATTTATTTAAGATGACCAGTATAATCATTTATTAATCGAACCATCTTAACAAAAAAACAATGACTGACTGAATAGAAAAACAGTAGCATCATGAAAAAATTTGACTTTTTCGTAAGCACATTTTAAACAGATTTGACTAAAGAAAGGGATTGAATAAATAAAAAACTTCAGTAGAAATACTTTTGAATTAAAACTCTGAGGAAATACATCAGTGAATTTTTCGATGAAAAAAATATATGAAGTATTCATCACTTGACTAAGTTATTGTTGTTGGTTAAAACTTCATAAGTTAGGCAAACTGCCTGATTTGTTCAGAGGATTAATCTGGTTGACATGCCTGCTGAACTGTTTGATACTTTGTTTCGAATGTGCAATATTTCACGATAGAAGAGAGTCAAAGGTTACTTCATTTGTGAAACGTTTCTAAGGGATTCACAGCATTATTTTTAATTTGGACAATTTGAGAAAGAAGAAGTAGAAAACCAAATCATTATATCCATTATGAAATCTCATCAGACGAATATTATTCTCATCGAAAAACAATCTAATCATTGAGCATATTCCCTTATAAGTACGTAAGAGAAAAGTATTCATTTCGATCACTTATATTTTTCGATCCTGTAAACTCCAACTGTCTTTTTTTGAAAATTAAGCAGTATATTTTGTTCAACATTGTTGACATTACTTATTCATATTACCAAGGGAGGATATCAGTTTTGTGAGTTTCATCCATACACACATTCCTCTTCCTAACGTCCTATCGATTAGACGTATATATCACTTCTTCTCTTTTCTCGTTTGCACTAAAAGGTCAATCAAGTGCAAATCAAGAAAATATTAAACTTAATTAATTCGTTAAATTAAATTAGAATAAAAATAAAAGTTTAATAGAATAATTGATACATCATTTAACATAGTACAACAACAATTAATTAACATGCCTCCAAAAAGAGGCGGAGCTACACGGGGTCGCAAGAAAACTGAGCAGGTCAATTTAAGGACTATTGGATCAACCATCAATTCGTCACAAATATCAACAAATGTAGGTGAAGAACAACAAACAACAAAAACAAAACCTAGCTTTGCAGTTGCACCACTGATAGTTGAGACTGAATCACTTACAAAAGTTAAATTAAACTTTATTATTAAAAATTATTTATCAGATGTTAAAATCTCCGACATACAAACTAATCGACCAAACTCATTTACACTATACCCCGAAGATGTGAAATCTTTCAATAGAATATTAAATGATCTATCATCGACTATTCAAGCAAAGGAAAATCAACGTGTTGTTGTTTACATTCCGCGTTCTATTCAAAGAATATTAGAAAACAACAAAGAAGCGTTTGTCAAAAAGATTGATTTAGAAATAAGTGAAGAAGATATTAAACAAACCCTAGATGATCAGGGATACAAATATGAAAAAATCACACGTTTAATAAACAAAGAAAATAAGCCTCTCAAAACAGTAAAAATAACTTTTTTAGACTCTTTTAATAGAGATCTATTTGTCAAACTTGGATTACAAATCGACTCGATGCATTTTATAGTTGAAGCAGCTGCTTATAATAATAAACCTTGTCAATGTTACAAGTGTTTCAAATATGGACATGTGGCAAAATACTGTAAATCAGAAAACCAGGTATGTTCGAGATGTGGTACTCATAATCATAAGTATGACAATTGTCCCAACAGCAACCAACAACCTATATGTTGTAATTGTAAAGGAGAACATTCTGCAACATCTACAGATTGTCCAAAATTCAAAGAATATCAACAAAAAATTCAAAAAACCATTGATCAATATTCATCAACAACAAAACAAATTAAATCAGCACAAACCTGTCCCAATTGGAAGAATGTTGATGAATTTCCATCATTTAAAATCACGGAAAAAATAGATCAAATATCAATTATTGAAGCACTCACAGAAAAAATAATGCTTGTTATTGAACAAGCAACAGAAAGAATCTTTGAAGCTCTAAATCGAAAGTTCGAAATATTGACCAATCAACTTGGAAACAAACTTAACATTGAAATCGAAGATATATCCATCGAAAAAGAGGATAATAAACAAAAAACCTGTAACAATTCGAAAATAACAACAACACAATATCGAATAGTACAAGATCGACCAACAGAAGAAATTCAAAAAAAGAATGTAGATCCATCGACAATACCTATTAATGGAAATAAACGAGAATATATCTCACCAAGCAGCTCATCAGGCAAATCAGCTAATACATTTGAGTAAACATAATATTTCGGAAATATAATACAAAAAAAAAAAAATGATTAAAATAATGCACTGTAATGTCACATCTATCAAGAAACACAAAGATGAGCTATTGGCTAGGTTCAACAAATTCGATATTCTGTCAATTAACGAAACCAATTTAAAACCACAACAACTATTTTCACTTCCAGGATATAATATCTATAGAAACGATAGACAAAACAAACAAGGAGGTGGAGTTTTACTAGCAATACGTAATAATATTGCATGTTTTGAAATTTTTAACAAAACAATCGGAGATAATGAAACAATAGCTGTACAAATTAAAACACCAGGTGGATATCTGCTTGTTGCATCAATATATATTCCACCAGATGTTAAATTACAACCCGAACTATTTGAACATATCTATAATTTGAATAATAATTGTCTTATATTAGGTGATCTAAATGCTGCACTTCATTCTATGGGATCTAAAAGAACAAATACCAAAGGTATTCAACTACAGCAAATACTTGAAGAGGGATATCTACAATGTATAGAGAATGATCTTACAACCTATGCAAGAAACAGTTACGAGGAGAAAATTGACTGGATTCTTGCTAGCCAACCCACCATCCTATTCATTAACAATATTGAAACACACCCATCCTTTGGATTGAAAGAAGATCATAAACCACTAACCTTAAACTTAAACTTGTCGGCTGAACTTAAACCAATATCCCCTCGAATGTCATACAATTTTAATGCTGCGAATTGGAAATTATATAGAATTAAATTGAATGAATTTTTGAGTAAAATTGATTTAAAACAAACAATTACAACAACACAACAAATTGAAACATATGCTACTGCCTTGACAGAAAGCATAGTCTTAGCAACGAAGGCAGCAATTCCACCAGTGAATGAAACAATTAAAAATTTCAAAATCTCAAAAGTAACTAAAAATCTCATTGAAAACAAGCATCGTGCATATCGACAATGGAAAAAAACGAACAATGATGCCGACAAAAAGGACTTCTATAAGAAAAGAGAATTATTAAACAATTCACTTCGAAATGATCGTATTGATCGTCTTAACCGTACCATGTCATCATTATGTGCAAATAAGATGAATTCTTCTAAAGTGTGGGCAGCAGTGCGTAAATTCTACAATAAAAGAACGAAGCAATCATATACAGGTGAACTCAGATATCAAAATATCACTGCCAGCACCGACTATGAAAAAGCTGATATGTTTGCATCATACTTTGAAAATGAGATTTTTGTTGAAAAGCCTGATCGAGTACCAATTCATGACCAAATCCGAAGACAGGTTGAATCAATTAAAAAAAGAGTCAGAAGGAAAAAGCAAACAAATAACAATAAACCACCTCCAATATCAACTAAAGAAATAAAATTAATACTTAAACAACTGCCTAATAGCTCACCCGGACCAGACACAATACATAATCGCTGCCTGAAAAATTATACAACGTCACTAGTTCAACATCTCGAAAAGATCTTTAATATTGTTATTGATACCGGATATATACCAGATGTCTGGAAAAGAGCCAACATCATTCTCTTGCTTAAGCCAAACAAAGACAAAAAGCAACCATCCAGCTATCGTCCAATTAGTCTCTTAAGCTGTTTAGGGAAAATCTTAGAAAAAATTATCAAACAACGAATAATGAAAGAACTAAATGAAAGAGATATTTTGCCGATTCATCAAGCAGGCTTCCGACCTAATAGAAGCACAATGTATAACATTATAAGACTTGAAAGATTCGCGCATGAACAACTTCATAAACGTCAACATGCTGCAGTTATATTTTTTGATATAAAAGCAGCATTCGACTCAGTGTGGTATGAGGGGCTAATATACAAACTTCACGATCTTCGCCTTCCAGAATACTTAATTCGATATATTATTTCATTTCTTCACCAACGAACAGCGGTGATAGAGATAGAAAATACAATATCGAGAATATTTACTTTAAAAAGCGGAACACCACAAGGATCACCACTGTCACCTCTGCTTTACATAATTTATACTTATGACTCAATGAACAGTATATCTCAGCACACACAAAATGGTCTTTTTGCTGATGACACGGCCTTATGGTCTTCATCAAATACCATCACCAACCTTAATCATCGTTTACAAGCATCCGTAAATGAATTTTATAAGTGGTGCAACACTTGGAAACTAACTATACAACCCACTAAAACTGAGATGCTTTACTTTAGTCCACATCCAAGAAAAAAATACAAGAAAAAAATAGCCATCCAAGTTGAAAATACAATAATCAAACCTATAGCAGCAGCGAGATATCTAGGCATAATATTTGATCATCAATTAAAATGGCGTAGCCACATGCATCATATAGAAACAAAAGTAGCACCACGAATAAGTTTGCTTAGATTTCTATCAAAATTAAATACAAACTCAAACAATAACATAATGATTAATCTATACAATTCTTTAGTTAGATCAATTATAACATATGGATCATCGATTCTTCTTAGAGCAGACGACAAAATATGGAATAGAATTCAGATTATACAAAACAAAGGTTTAAGAGCATCATTGGGACTTCCAGCGTATACATCTACAGATTACATACATAATAGTACAAATGTTCCCAGGATTAAAAATTACGCCACATTCCTTCTTCAAAGATCAATTACAAGAGCAGAAAACTACAACGACAATACATCAAGAGAAAATCTTACATATATTCTAACCCATGTTCACATAAATTAAGCTTACTTTTTCCTACGGAGGGCATAAGACATCAGTCAAGAGCCCTACCATTTCTCTTTCCATATCTCCCGTTTCTCAGGATTTCATTGTTTTAGTTTTTTCTTCCTCTCTTTTTTTCAAACTCTGTAGATTTATTTATCCAAATAAATCGTTGATACCTTATCCATACACACACGCTTACCCTACGCCCTATTTCCTTCGAAAACGTATGTGTGTTCTAGTTCAGACAAATTAAAAGGTCTCGTTCTAGGATAAAAGAAAACTTCATCTAACTCAAAGTCTGCAGCTTTTATATCAGATAATAAGACACTTATTTACCAATTGTACTTTAACCAAATTTGATCAGATACGAAATGAAATAATCACCATTGGCTTTTACATACTGATAAACAATCAAAGATGTTTTGACAAATTTTATAGTCAATATACTCGAAGTCAATAATGTAAATGAGACATTTATCTATTTCACTTACTGTCAAGATCAGTTAATTCATTGTGAAATTCTCCGTACATTAAGTAATAAACAGGATAGATAATTTGGCGAAAAATACTTCGACCATCAAATGTGGTAATAATCTTCGTATCATTAAATTTATCGGCATTTGGATAATATACCATTGAACGAGAAGTAACACCATAGCCGGTCATGACAATAAAAATGATACACATAAAGAAGAAAAGATCTTGAAGCTAGGAAAGAAAAAAGAGAACGATGTGTCTCCGAATACAACTTGATGAACATTTTAAATACCATTTTTCCAATAGCTACAAGGTGTGGTCCGAGAAATGACATAGCAATAATAAATGATAACGAACGAAGATACCAAATTTCTAGATCAAAAGCCATAACAACTCTAAATCATAACAACACAATACGTTTATAAATATGAGAAATATTGAATGTGAAAAGTCTATTATTTGAATTCATAATTAATCTAATGAAAGAGTCATGTTGACAATATCAAGCCTGAATCTGAGCGACTACATCACTAAACGTTTTCAACATATTACAATCGAATATAGAATTTTGCTTCATAACGCGTGATGCAAAATTTCCCTACAAAAATGTCGCTTCATCTTTCATCTACCATATCGTAAAATGTTTTTTAAAAATAAAATCTCTTTTCAAAATCTATGTTACAAGTGCTCTGTAAATGTGTATTCAAAGGATTTCTAGAATACCTTGCCTTTGAGTAATGTTCATGTTCTTAGATGACCTTAAATGTGCTAGAACTGTAAAAAGCAATCCATAATGACTGCGGCAACAGGAACAGATTCTTGAGCAATACCGTCATGTTTTCTATCAAGTTTGTAGAAAATTGAATGAGCAGTATAGTGAAAAAAGGAATAAGAATATATGATGGAATGCATAGAAGATATTTGAAAAAATACTGACGTGTTAGTTCCGCCTGTCGTAATCGTTGTAAGTTGTTTTCTATAGAGTAAATCTTAGTCTTATTTAAGAATACGGCCATTAATCAAATGGAAGACATTAGAAATATTTTGAGTATACAGTTAGAAAGCGTTTGTAACATAGATTATCAATAGGTATTTATTATTTTCAATTTATAAGGCACGCTTTAATCAATGAAAAATGAAGTCATATTATTGCATGAACTTTTGGATCGACCTTTATAATTTTGAATTATAAAATTTTCTTTGTCCAAGAAAATCTTACCTAGCTGCAGTGAATTCATCTTCTGTGTTTGTGGATGTGAATCTTAAAATTAATCCAATGTAGAATAGAATAAATCCAACGGCGGTCATAACTTTAAATAGATTACCAAAATAACGTGTAGATTTGCCTAGAAAAGTCATGTTATCTAGGTAGACAAGCTAAAATTTCAATAGAATAAATTCTTCTATTTTATTTTATTTATTTGCTAATATTTACATAATGAATTTCTTCGATTAACATGCATGTAACGAAAATAATTGTTAAAATTTCAGTCCAATGAATTGATGGTCTTTCATTTGTTGGCGGTTGAAATTCAAATAAAAGCACGTAAGAAAAAAGTAATAGAAAAAAACAATAAAATGCCTGAAATATAATCAATTCATATTATGAAACAGAGGTTATCATTAAAAATGAATTTGTCTTTAATACGTACGGCATGATACAAGTACTTTACTGCTAAAGCTTGATGAAAGTTTTTCACTCGATTCATATATTGATCTATCAATGGGTTTTTAGTAAAATGTGGATATTCAAGTGAATATGGATCAGAATAATCTATGCCAGCATCATCCAAACTACATTAATGAAAAAGATTTACAAAATTGTTCTTTCTCAAAATACATACGATTGTTCAAGAGGTTTGCTGACGGATCTCTAATAAAAATAAGATACATAGTTTTAATTTATCAAAAAACGCTCTAGGATTTCAAGTAAATTATCTTATTTATAAGATCAATAAAAATATACGTAAAAGGAGATTAAAAAAACAAGAATCTTTTAGCGTGAATCCGCTGAGATTGCAATGTGAAACACGACCTTTCAATTGATTGTAGTCCTAAGAAAACTATTTTAACTATTATTCGATGGAATTCATTTTTTATCATTGCTTACTTCTTACTTTGCAGGAAAAAAAGAGTAAAAAAAAATACCTCGTATCAGAGACACAGACAGTCTACTTCTTTCCTGCCTGTCCTGAGCAGATCGTAAAAAAGAAATAAGCTAGGCTTAAAACAGCTCTATGATCTACTGCTTGATCTAGCCTACAAACCAGCATCAAATGAAAACTATTCAATTGATTTTTCTAACACACATATTCATCAAATTCAACACTGATACTATTCAAAACTGATTTGATTTTTAGGGTGTGGGTGTATGTTTTCTATTTAGCTACATCCACCCTCATCCGTTATTCTAACAGTACTGATTTGGTATTCAATTCGGCACTTATCGTTCGAATTGAATGAATCTTTCTTATTCATTTTGAAAGAGAAAGTATAGATGGGGCCAACCCGATTTTTGGACGTAAAGTAACGTTACCTGTCTGCTCTAAAGTCTAGGCTAAAGCATGCAGATAACTTGTACTGATTCTAACTCCAGGATCGACTATCAATCAATGGCTCCATTTTTAAAACATTAAACTTGACTAAAAGCGACTCCTATCTATTGAATTGAAGTAAAATCATCATTCAAAGTAGATTTTGATCAAATTGAATAGTTTGGCCTAATCTGGTCATCATTTTTGTGAACCAGAGCAGGCCAGACTCACAAACAAGAACTTGATCTGGCAAATCCCAACAGTTAAACAGGCTAGACTTTTATCTCTGGTTCTTATGTTTGAATTAGATCTTAGGTATCATTACTTTTTGGTAATTTTTGAAGCCTGATAATCGCAGTGGTTGTGAACGGCTACACGTTTTTGTCCAATAGACAACAACACTCATTTTAGATCACATTTCATAAAATGAGTATTGAAGTATTATTCTCCTTAGACAGAAAAGTAAAGTAGAAATCGAAACTCACATGTGTCTGTGGACAACAAGTAGTACAAATGATCATAGGAATGATAACAATTGGGGATGAAAACGGTCTACATTTTTGGCGGCTGGCATATCAGTTTAATCGATCTATCAGAAAACGCCGATCTACTGGTAAAAGCCAATTCTGTCATTAGAGGCCAAGTCAAATTTTTTTTTGAATCGATGACTCGGTTTGACTCGAGTCAAACAGTCGAGTCAGCATCAACGAATTTTTGAGTCTGAGTCGAATCCGAGTCATTAAAAAAAATAGCGCGGATTCGCCCAGCCCTGGTTATCAGTGAGCTTTACTTGTTAGATATGATTTCCGATATTATTGGTCTGCCGAGGCAGGCGATAAAAATAAACGATAATTTAAAATTTTCCGCCTATCTGAGAAATAATTCACTCTGGGTCAAGTGCAATCACGTCGGAAAAGACTTTAAGATATATTTCTAGCTATGTTGAAGGAAGATAGTACAAAAATGATCAGTTTTTCCAACAAGCACGAATAAAAGAAAACAATTTGTTTGAAGGGCCATAATTTTCTTACATTTGTTTTTCTATGTTCAGTTTTTTTCTATTTGAAAGATCATCTCAGAGTATTATTTTTTAATGTAAGAGTAAAAATGGTTAATTGAAAAAAAAAACATGACCTGTCAAACATTATGAAAATCTGCAAGTTTCTTTGAGCGAAAAGATTTCATTTTTTTTGTACATCTTAACGGTCTAATTATTAACATGTTTCGAAATATAAAATATTAAAGACTATCAGAATCAATGTGTAACAAAAGAGAAACCATAGAGCTCAATTTCACTACTTATATGCAATGTTTATCAAGTTGTCTAGAGATGATTTGAATATCGTACAATTCAGCAATTTAAATATTAATGTATGAATATAAGTAATTCACGTAAGTGAAACTCGTTAAGACCTACATATATTCATTCTTATCTTAATAAATTTAAATAAAAATATATTCTAACCGTTGCCAGTTTTCGATAAGTGAGTATAAATGGAGAAAGTAGACCAAATGATATAATACCAATAAATAATAGAACACTATTTAACTTTCTTGATTCATTCGGTAAAATTTTATCGTACCAAATGTTATTCATTGATTGTACACAACAAGGTGTTGCTATAAATAATTTATCCTCAGCATCAGAGGCAACCTATAACATAAAAAAATAAAATAAAAAGCTGTTAGTATAATTTGTGTAGAATTAATATGTGAAACACGATATAAATCTTGTCTGTTATCAGATGAACATTAACTCATTTCTCTAGAACTGCAGAAAAACAGTTGTTTATCTATGCTAATCCATTGTTAATTATATATTGTATGAAATAGTCCTCGAAACATGTCTGGCATAATTTCACAAAAACTTTTTAGCTCTTTTTATCAGTGAGCAGGATGCAACTTTTATCAGAAATCATGCTCATTTTCATGGAGACTACATCATACTGATTGTGATATGACCGACGAAGCAACCGACAACCTGTTGTTTCTCTCATTTTGGCTTACAGCAACCCAATACACTATTGCAGCGGTAAAATTAGTCAAGAAGTCTGATTAGATGGGTTGATTCTTCATTTTGTGTGCTTTAAGCTTTGTTTAGGGTGGTGTTTTAGAAAAACCGAAACAAAATAAATATATTAATTGTACCTGAAGACATGAAACATATCCATAAAGTTCTATTCTTTGTAGCACAATTTGGCATGCTTGTTCGGAATCATTTTTTTCACATTGTGTTATACAAGCAATAGCATATTGTTCAAAATAATTGGCATCTTTTTTATAATTATCTTTTAAATCACCATATATCGCTTTACTGTGGTATTTTTTTAAAATTTTCGTTGCAATCAATGCAGCACATATACGATATTTAAGATAAGCTAAAAGAACTTTAGCTATGCCAACATGATTGACAAGTATTGACCATATAAATAGATCGCGCATTATATAGTCTTGAGCTTTTTCTCGATCTTCTCTAGTCATAGACCGTTTAGCTTTGGTATCGCGGTGATGATCTTGATCTGCTTCATAATCTTCTTTCTCTAAACCCCATGCAATGCGATAGTCTTTCTCTTGATCAGCACTACGAAAATATAAATCACTCATATAATCACCAATAATTTTACCAAGAATTGTATTAAGGTCATCAGTAGAAGTGATACTTTTTTCCTTAGAGTCAGAAATTGAGTCAATAAACATACTCAAATGTGTTGAATCCGCATTCTATAATTACATGAAAGCTCAATATTTATTTTAGTCTATTTCTTTTTTATTCAAAGATATAACATACCACTTTCTCGTTTGTATATAGACGCCCGATAAATTTTTCATATCGATTCTTTTCATTAATAAATGTTTCATTTGGAAAGAATATTTTGCTTGGACTAATACCCAATTTAAGAAATTCGTAAACAAATGCTGGTAAACCTTTAGTTAAAGCTTTTAAAAAAATTTCATCTTTTTTCTAAATAAAAGAAAAAACAAAACAAATTATTCGGTAAAATACTCTTGATCACATCAAAAAACAAAATATCATTAAATGCCAATGATTTTCCAACTGATTACCATAGTAGTCAAAAAAACAGACCTTTAAAATTCGATATGAAAACTAAATACTATGTATAGTCTTCCAGCAATCTTTGTCTCACGAATCAAAATCATCAACAAGAAAAAAACTCAATGTTGGTGTGAGATTGATCGTAGGGATATGTTTATTCGGCTATAGTAGCTACACAATCTGAATACACATGGCTGAAATATATTTTAGGGTCTGGATGTGAGTGTCTGCTATAGATCAAAGTTTAAGTAACTCCCATATCCACATCCGACCTAAATTCAAGAATTGTGATCGATTACATCCTATGCTGGATTCGAAAAAGTTTTTTCCTTCAGATCAAATAGTTTTTAATCATTCAGATCCGATCCGACTGCAGAAATAGTTAAATTCAACATTCGCTATAATACATATGACATCAAGAATTTTAGTTCCTGAAAAAAAACACGATAGAACAAATCTGATTCGTCAGTTAAGAATGATGAAATATTATATTGTTCACTCATGATTATGTGTTAGAAAAACAAATTCAAGAGTGTTATTTCTTTTTATGATATGATCATAGGACTATGAATTTTTTACTTTGATAATTTACCATGTTAATTATTTTTCGGTCACAAATACTCATATTGCGATGAAGTTTACGAATGACACTAATATCATGAAAAGGTGATCATCATCCTCAATTCTGGTTACGTTAAAACTATAAAAAAATTTGGACTGAAACGATAGGATCTAGAGATAGAAATTCATTTGTATCTGTTTGTCTGTGAAACTTGTTTCTGAGTCATTGTTATCACTCAATTAAAATTTTGATTGAAAAAGTCGAAACGAAGGCTCATATGAGTATAGTTGTCTTCTGTTTACTGTATTGACAATAGGCAAGTTTTGACGAATTTTTATTTTTAGTTCAAGACTACAATCTAGGGAGAAGCGAATTCGACCAGTGTTTATGCTGTTCTCATGTAGAATTCTTATTGTTCTTCAAACGCCTATTGATTCGTCCTCTAGCTAGAATTCAATATGAATTTTGAGAAACTGATTGACTTTCAGCGCGAAGATTTTTGCCATTCTAACAATCAATGAAAAGTATAAGAAAATACGATGGAATTCTATAGAAATACTCTTGAATGAATAATATCTTTCGATTGCAAATAATTCATACCAGGATATTATTTAATGAATTCTCTAAAATTAATTCTCTTGCCACTTCAATACAATCCCAATCCATCGCTAATTCTAATAATTGTGATCGTTGTGCAATATCATCAATTTTTTTAACGTCTTGATATATCCGCGATTGATGAATTTTATCGTCTATATTAGGATTTCTTTTGGATCTACGTTGATTCAATTCCATTTTATCCTGTTCCTCATTTTCTTTTTTCTTGAAAAGTTGTTGACGTGCTAGAAAAATGAATTTTCAAAATCAGTTAAAGAAAACAAAATACATTGAATATACCTTTACATATACTTCGAAAAATAGTATCTGATAATTTATCATCCGAATTTAAACTAAATATATTTATTCCAGAACGAACAGCTGGTTGAAGACAATACATAATATAATTCAGTGCCTTGATTAATTTCTTCTCCATTTTAGAATCTTTTTCAGTTGATTGTGTAGTGTTTTGTTTTTTCTTTTGCTTTTCATCATCATGTGTTATTATCATTCGGAGGCTTTCTTTAAGTTGTTCGCGATATTTAAGAAACAATTGTTCAAGTCTATAAAATAAATATATATATACAAACAAGAAATAATTTTTATTTAATTATTTACTGTTTTTCAGATTTATCAAGAGTAAGTTCAAACTGTTTTGAATTTTTTCTAGAATGAGCAAAATATTTCAGAGATAAGAATGACATTGCAAGTAAAATTTACCTGGATTTCGAACTTTTTGCTGCAACTGGATTTGAGGTTCCAGTTGAATACTTTTCAATCTGTGTTACATTGACGACTTCTTCGATTTCGTATACAGTATCAGCATAACGATTGATGTCATCAAATTCTTTTGTATACAATAACCAATGTTTGAAAAAATCGGCCGCACGACCACTGCCCTATTTTTTTAATACATTACTATTATTACACCTGCCACTATTTACTTACATCGATAATAATAACAGGAATGTTTGCCTTCAAATCATGATATACATCCTCTATAGTTTGTCTACCACCTTCTACCACAATAGTAACAATAGGAACTAAATATGATTAAATACAAAAAGATATGTTAGTGTCATGCTTGTAAAATAAAAATACAAAAAAGAGTGTAACTTTTTTCTCCTGTTTTCCCGCAGATTTCTCCGTCATTTATTTATTTAATCTTACCAAAATGCAAGAACGAACTAGTTCACATATAACTCTAATAACAAGGGATTGTCATAGACGATCGTTGGTTATATAGTTAATATCAACACATGTGTTATTATAATGATTAATTATGAATCTCGTATTTCTTAATCATCTTATTCGTAATAGATTTCAAATGAATGTCACCTGTATAATCTTATAGTATGTTCCATTGTTGGAAAGCGGATATCAATTACAAATATTACTATATCAAATATGGAATAACAAATAGAAATAAAATAATCGACACGGCATTATAAATAATAAAATAGGTTTTCGTTTTGTTACTCAAGCATTTTTCGAAATGTAGATCGACATATTTTCCATGGTTGTTTTATTATTTATAGGCTAACTTTCATAAGCATCTTAGATTGAAATGAACCGATGAAAAACACATTTTTAGTGATTTCAATACGATTTATGCTAAGAGACAAACTTATCCGTTTGCTATCGGATAATTCGGTACAAAATGTGATATTAGTTCGTCCACACTACGTACACGTTTACTTGGTTCATGTAGGCATAACATGGTGTACTTTTCTTTCACGTGCCTTTCTGATTACATCAATATCAGACAAAATCCAATAACAACAAAAAGAAATTATCCTTCAGGAATTCTACACTATTGATATGTGTATCCATCTTTCATAGAGTATTGTGATATTCGAATTTCAAAACCTATTGAAAGTCACGCATGTCTATCATGCACTTAGAATGTATAAAATATTGTTTGTTAGCAGCTAAATAGAACAAATGGGAAAAGCTTTATCACAATTTATACAAAATAAAATAATTTCAAGACGGTTACGATCAACGAATACTTCACATGCAACATTTTTATCCCGCAAGAATTATACTGGAAGCTCTCTATTTGTTATTAATAAAAGAAATCAGTAATGAATGTCTGAAAGATCGTACTATCTGTGCCAATATTGATGATACGCTTCAATGACTTTCTGTTTCTATCAACTTTCCTCTTTATCTCACGTATCGTATTCTCTCTTGTGTGTATATATGAGATATTTTGGTGTGGCTTTTTGAGCGTAAGAATGTAGAGGTAAGAGTGTACAGAACGAAATGGTCATACTCACATACTCAAGCACAACGCCTTTTTGCTCAACACTACGGTGTTTTATAAATCATTAAGATATAGTTTATGATAAGGATCAATGAGTTCGACTGAATCGTGGACCGAAAGTCTGAACGGAAAATTTCTGTAAAGTTGAAAATTGATTTATCGGGCTGTGTTATCAGGAATACACTTGAACATCTAATTAATCAATCATTCAGAAGGATGCAATCATCGTAATATATATGCCCAGTGAATACAATAGTGAAACAATATTCGATGAAGAAATCATTTAAACATCTTATTGCCGTATAAATCCACTTGTTTTTCAATAAACTTCCTATTTCTCTCTTTCCTAATTACGTCACTAGTCTTTTGCCATCGATGAAACTAGAATTGGTCGGATAAGCCCAGATCGTTTCTTATCCGTTGTGAAACTTTTAGCTCTTTGATGAAATTCTACAAACATGAGTTTACACGTTATATATATATATATATATATCAATCAAGATGAAACATAAGCCGTCGCAACTCGAAAATCTAGGTTTCGCTAGTACTTTTTGTTTGTTAGAAAAGAACTATCAGCATTAAATCATCATCGGATTTAATGATAAGAAATAAAGAAAAATGTTAAATAACTTTCTAGATTCGACAGCTGACAAAACTACAATATGAATGATTGATCGTGAAACTTTATGAATAATCTCTGTCAGAAACAGATTAGTTCTTGTCTCTTCTAATCTACTTTAAAAAAAGAAAAGATCGAATTTTAACATTCCAATTGTTTCTTTGCAATAAAATAAAATACAATAACAGCATCACTCTGAATTGTCTAGTTTTATGTTTAGCATCGAAAAACAAGAAGACAATAATAGTCGCAAATAAGAAATACAAACGGAACAAATTCTATGATGATGTACTGCATATTACAGGCTGATTAAATATATAATTCTATTGAATATTGAAGCAAACTTGAACAAGATCATATAATTCATTTAAGGAAATATTTATCTTTTGTTATATAATCGAATTTCTCTCTCAAAATATATCTACAGCTGAATTAAAATAAGAAAACAAAATCATTATTCTTACTAGGGTATTCAATATAATGATGTAATTTTCCAATATAAGCACATAATTTTGTTCTATAATCGCCTATATTATAATATCGAACTGTCCCATCATCTAACATAAGATAATGAGTATGATTCATGTCAAGGTCACGTTCACCCCTTGAACGTTGATTTACATGTTCTTCCTGATCATTAATATTATTCTTTTTGTTGTTATAAAAAAAAATATACAAGAAAATAATATATGTTAGATCATAAATCAAACCTCTATTCCATTGTCAGACTTGGTTAATTCGTCAACATCTTTTGCACTTCCCCATTTACAAATTGCAATAGCCGTAATCAAATATTTTGGATGTGTTAATTTTATTTTATTAATAGCTTCTCCAACAAGTTGAACAATACCAACATTATACCCATTTGTTATTAACCATGCATCTATTTGAAATAAATTAAAACACAAAATTAATTTCAATAATCAATTTACCTGAATTAAGAGCAACATCAATAATACCATTGATAAAATTTGATTCAAGTCGATCACTTAATTTAAAATATTTTTGACCTCCAAGAATTGACATAATCAGCCGAGGTTTCGGAATTTTCCAATATTCGAGAAGAAGTTTTTCTACTTTTCCTTCATGTGTATCCAAAGCAATTCGTGCATACTAGTACATAAATTATGAGTTCATAAATAAAACAAAAGAAAAACAACTTTCTTTTATCTTACTAAACCTCCACTTGGAAGCATACCATGAGCCGGTTTTGTTACTGGAACAGTATGATCAAACATCGTCCATTTACTATCGGATGATTCGAACCTTTTATGCGTGTGATAAGGTTCGTATGGCCGATTGCATCCACAAATATCTTTTTCTTCGTCGCTCCTAACAATACGAAGAAATAACATCATTTGATTTATTGATCATAAAATACTACTTTTTAACAAATTTGGAGCAAACACGATAATAAAGATTTAGTCCCTTGAAACTATCTTCACTATCTGGCATTCTATTTAACTAAAAAAAAAATTAAATAATTTGTTTTTTGTTCAAATAAGCTTTTGTTTTAGTCAATACCGGATCTAATTTTCTTGGGTGTCTTACACTCATAATCGACCACAAATTGTGTAGAGAATATTATGCTGAAATGGATTTTAAATATCTCTATATTGTAAGATTATCTTCGAAATTAAAAAAATTCTGTGTTGTTGTAATCACCTATTGACAATCTGCTTTAATTCGAGAATGACTACGAAAAAAAAAATTCAGCAAGTCAAAATAGTTACGAAAAAGTTTTTTTTTCTTTTATGTTCTACTAAACAAACAAACGTTGCTTAGAAATAGGCGATGACTGTCTTATACATGGTCAAGAACAAAACTTATTCGTTAAAAACGAAGCAAATCTTATGGCATTCGCCGCTTGCAGTATTTATGCCATTCTTTTTTTTAAAGAAAAGCTTTTATTTCAAAAACGACTTAAACATATATTTTAACACGCGTTTATTTTATTTTGACTAGATGCTTCATCATAGATTTATTGTAAAAGAAACAGAATTTTTATATTAATAAAAGTTGCAAATTAATTTATAGTTAAAATTTCAGAGTGAAATAATAAATGATGGCTAATCGTAAACAATCAAGGTAGGATTATTATTCAGATACCATATAGATCCTTATCTTAGGCCACAAATTTCAAAATAAAATTTGCACATTTTCATCCTTTTTCTTTTGTTTACCATTTAATAGACTATTGTCTTTGCTCTATCAAAAAGAAATACTTTGTTTTTTTAGTCAATTATTTGAGTTTCTATGTAATTAGTTTCTATGCACTCTTGATTCTATCTCGATTCTGCAGCAGAATATTTCAATTTAAAGTTTACTCTATAGAACAAGAAATGACTGCACTGACTTCTGTTCTCTATTTTCAAACTGCGAATCGTCATCATTCTTTGGAATCATTCCCGTTCGAAAAAAAAACGAAATCGAAAAGAAAACTTCATAATCTCTATTTGTACTTGTTTGAAAAAATCTTCGGACAAATTTTTTTTTTCTAAAACAAATAGAGAATAATGAAAGATTAGAGACCTACATGATAGTCGAAATAATAATGAAAATTTTCGAGATCGACATATGTGAAAAGTTTGTTTCGTAGATCTCAATGAAAGACTTGTGTAAATGATCCATCATTTTGTAAATAAACAACAGAAATCGATAAGTTTTTTTTGTTTATCGAATGATAAATAGTTCGAACTTATTTGTTGTTGTATTCAAATGATTATTTCATATACTGTATGTAAAATATATTCAATAATAAGTATTGGTTCTATATTTAAATAGTTCCTGTCATCAACAACAACAACATATTGATGTAAGTTCGTAATTACAGCATTCGTTCTGATACAAATACTCTTTTTCTTTTTTTAAGGCAGATGAAAAATTATGGCAAGAATTAAACATTATTGTTGCTCTTGAAACTTTTCAATTTCCTAATAATAAAATACATGGAACTATTCGTATTGAACCTGAATCATCTCGAAAATTCATTCAAATGTTTTTTGTAAGTAATTTCAAAATATTTGATTGTTTTATCGTATTTATATGATAGTTCGTCATTGATAATTTATATGAGTATGAATTCGATCCTTCCTATGTAGATGTAATAGTATCCGGTCTGAATATGAACATAAGAAATCGATCGATTTATATTAAAGCTATACCAATCAATACCAAATGGAAACCAAGTGTTAAAATATCAAAAGTTTGTTTATGTTCTATTTTCGACAAGCAAAATAAAAAAAAAATAATTATCCGTTTCGTTAATAGGAATTTAAGTTCAATAGTAAAGTTTTTGAATTGATTCCAAGACTAAGTTTTATTTGGTTGGATGAAGATAAGATACGCACACCCCATCTCGTTATTCAATGGGATCATATTGAAGACAAATATGCACAAGGTTATGTTCTTTATTTAGATGATGTCATGATTAAAAATGTATGTTTTATTTCTCCGAAGCAAGATAAAAGGAATTATTAGAAAAATATATTTAGATATATAAAAACCAAATAGAAGATCAATTTAAAGTTACTATTCGTGGATTTGAGCCTGGAAAGAAACATATATTTCAATTAGCATCAAAACTCGATAGTACATAAATTAATTCTTTTATTTTTTTTTTCATAAATAAAACATTTGTTTTTCATTTGTATTTAAAAGACGGTCAAGAAGCATGGCTATCAGATCGTATAGAATTCACTGTACCCGATAACGAACAAAGCAACAATCAAGAAGTCTATCCTACAGAAATATCAATTAGCATCGACCCATTGAATTTATCAAGTACTGAACAAATTTTATTAATAAAATTCGGTGTCAATCAATCAGCTTTTTTTTCTTTTTTGTAGCCACGAATCCACATGGAAGAGAAAATACTTCATGTCTACGTGGAAGACAAGCAATCAAACAATTAGAAAACCAGATGACTAGTAGGAAAGTCTATACCTGTTGCAATCAATTACCACATGATAGATTTCTTGGAGTTGAACATTATTTGCGTATGAATTGTAATCAATTAATCTTGTCTTCTCCAAAGCATTCATTAAAAAAGGATAAGACAATAGAATCTTCAAAAAGTATTGATGATGATGATGATGATGATGTTATTATATCGAATAGAGAACAATAAATTGTGTAAAAATGGTTTTTACTATTTATTAATGAAGCTAAAGGGTGTGGGTGTGGGGGGTATGGGTGGGTGTTGGTGTGCATGAATAGAATAGTTTCAACGACGCGCGAACCCACACCCATATCCACCCTCTGTTAAAATTTTGGTTGTGAGAGAAAAAAAACAAATTAGTAAAATTTACTATTCCGAAAAATTTTGTTCAGGTTGTTACAATGTGTGTCCTTGGCGCATAAATGCATCAGCTTTTTCATTACTGGTCTGACTGAATGCTTGAAAAAAAATGTCAACATTTTCATAAAGATTACCATATAAAAATAAAGTATTCTTTTTTTTGCTTTCTTTTACTGAAGTAATAAAAATAGAATTTTTTTCTCTTTTACAAGAGAAATATCTAGAGTGTCCAACTTTGTTTTCATTCATTCAATAGATTAGATTAAGGTAAGAAAAAAGGTTCGAGTTCATGGTTTACTGGAGAAGAATCATAACCGTTTTATTGAATTTTTTATCCACGCTCACTTATTTACGAAAAAAGCAAAATGAAGAGTTTCACTCTGAAATCGTCTCCTATAAATAAGTTTAATAGTTATTAGATAAAGTTCAAAGTATACTCCATTTTTGTATCCTCCTATAATAAATCGTTGTTTTTGTTTTAAGTGTAATATCTGAAGCAAGACATCGACGTTTTGATTGAAACTCTCAGGGCTATCTAATGATTATTACAAAGAAGTACTAATTGCGCTTTATTTTTCTTCAATGTATTATAGCTCGTTATCTGATATTGCCAGAGAAAACAAAATGTCATTGCAACTGATACGCTCATATTTTATGGAAATAAAGAGAAGTTTTGTTTCTGTATTGAAATACATACCGCACTTCATAATTAATAGAAAAAGCTACATACTAAATTAATCTATGTTTTTGAAAAGAATCCTCTACTTTCCGGTACACTCAGGAAACGGTTAATATGATTTTCGGAAGGTATAAAAAATTCTAAGATAAACCACTGTTTGACAAGCATGTAACCACGAAAAATTCGAAAATGCTGAACAAAGTCTTGATCTTAATAATGATGATTCTCATATTACTTCCTATGCATCTCGAGTTTCAACTGGTCTATGTCGTATCGTGATCGAGAGAACGATTTATCAACATTGGTAGATTAATATACAACGATGCATTATATATTTAGTTAGGTGAATCAGTTTTCCACATGTAGAGAAAGTTTGGATGTGTGTGAAAAATTTGAATAAGCAACATATTGATTCTAGAATGTAATGATAGCCAATGACTTCTAAGTTTATCGGAAAAAAACCAGTTGCAACCCATGATATGCTATCAGATTAGCTAACGAAGAGAATTCCCTTCATGTAGTTAAAAAAAATGTGTTATTCGTTCAAATAATCGTTCAGTGGATTTTGCAGAGCAACTATTATTGTTTTTAACAATCACGTAAAACAAGAATTACCGGTCAATCATAATCATTTCACTTATAAAACCTAACATATTGTCTAAAGTTTATTTACTCGATTTTCTAAGTGTGAAAAAAATATTTTTTTTAGCGAAAAGGAAACAGTAAAAACTCTTTTTGACAGAAACTGCCAGGAAAATCACTTAAAGCTTTAACTAGAATATCCATAACTCTTACATGATTAATTTCAAACATGTGAACCTTGTGCAGTTTAATAAATCTTTCATTGGCGGTTTGAATACACACATGAGAATGGAAAATTTACTGTAAACATCTCATGAGGTAGGTTTATTGTCAAAGAAATCGATTGAAAGCCTTAAAAAGCCAGATAATATACGATTCGATGCGTCTCCATTTTTTCTTTCGAACGATGAAAATCACAGCTGTTCATCTTGTTTCTATCAAAAGTTATTCAAAACAATATTCACTAAATAGGCATTGATATTAGTTGAAGAATGATCAAATAGCTTAGAAAAATAGAGCATAGTTTTCTCTATCACCATATAAAAAACAAAATCTCTGGAAGATTTCTATATGGAAATAAGATAATGACGGCACTACCTTTGAATTTCTCTAAGTATATGTAAACATATATCAAAATAGAAAATGAAAATTATCTTTCGTCGAGCTGTTGAAGCTCCAGTTTTTTTGATAATCCATTTGATCATCCAAATGATTGATTTCATATTGATATATTAGCAGATAATAATAATTATCATGTTACAATAACTGATGAGTATTTACATATAGAACCAAATATATTTTGTCTAAGAAATTTTTAATTCAACCAATGAGAATGTAATTATATATGTTATATTATACGATGTGAAATACAATACAAACAAATATCAAATTATCAATCTTCAAGAGAAAGAAAAAGAACAAGGGTATCTAGTAAACATTCATCAATAAAATGTTATATTATTTTCATCTAACATCAAATCTATAATTTCTCTTTATATATGCTCAAAATGCATTTCAATTTACCATTACAACAGTTCAACATGAATCGTTTCAAAAACTACTAATGATAACAAAAACAATAAGTAAATTATTATCATGAACAACCTCATTTATTCACCAATGGGTTTACAGTTAGATAGTATGGTTATTAATTGATCATTTTCAATTAATGAAAACATTAAATATTTAGCAGATCTTCATCAACAAATTACAAATGCACTTGTTCACATCGTTATGTCATTATGAGATAGAGCATCACAACCACTACAAATATTTAAATTATGGAAGTATACTGGTATCGAAAAAATAAAGTACAAATAGTAAACTATAAATCAGTTGAACATATTCACACCGCAAACAGATTCACAAACTCAATACTCATGTGTGAGAACTCATATCTAATATGAGAGGGAAGGAATTTTAGTGATGATTTACCCTCATATCTACCTCTTAATGTGTTGCTATACCTCTCTCTTTTTCTTCTCCATTATTGTTAGTGTTTTCTCTTTTCTTTTTTCTTCTATCATCTCTTCTTTTTGTTTTGTGTGATATATCTATGTATGCTGATTTAAGGGCATTAAGAGTATAATAGAATAAATAAAGTTAAAGCTCATCGAAACGAGCTAATAGATCTGTTTTCTAACAAGTAATCATATATCAGCACGTGATTAGAGAAAATGAGCTTCATTGGAAACTATACAGCTCGAGAAGAAAATCTCCACTCTCCTTAATATTTCAATGGTTTTTAAGCTATCATGATACATATATAGAGTACAATTTCAGATTGTAATATCGTCATCGAATCAATGCTTGACACATGAGAATATTCCCTCATCATAGATCGGATGATTTAATGTAAATGGATTCTTTTGTATTGTTGAGTTTTCTTCGTATGCAGTCAAGAATTTTTCTAATGTTTTCACCAAGCGATGGGCCACGAAATTCTCTACAAAACGCTATGTTTTGCTTATCTAGTGTATCTATTTTTGTTTTATACAAGCCGAAACAAACTTTAAGCGACATGATAACAACTTTCTAAACTATGGCAAATATGTTTTTGTTCTCTAATCAATATTAGTTTTGCTTGAACACGATTTTTTGAGGCTACAGTCTATTGAGAGGGAGTTGGTTTGAACCATGCATTGAAACCGTGTTCAAACAAACTTAATATTTACCGGATAATTAAAATCTTCCATAAAAAGAATTAGATTTGGCATAATTTTAGAAAGTTGTCATCATTTCTCTTAACGATTGATCGACTCTTGTAAAAGAAAAACAGATATATTAGGTAACCAAAACATAGTTTTTTTTTTGTAGAGGATTTCACGGCGCATATTTTGGTGAAAAAGTAGGAAAATGCTTGACTCATATGATAAGAACTCGAGAAAACAACATGATCCATTTCACTGAATCAGTCGGTATAATTGGATGTGGTAATTAGAAATAGAATGATATCAGAACCTCACCGGAAAATCATATTACTTTCTTTTAATATGATTTATTTTAACGAACCAACATCAACTCAGATACATACCGACTATTGTCTATAGTAGATTCTATAAAATTTACCGAGTGTTGCTGTCAAAATTTGGTTTGCACATGTTGAAGATATTCCAGCCTCGGCTAAATACCAGGGAGAATCCAATTTCTACAGCTCACACGTCACTGGTATTCTAATTAGAGCCTTACTACTACTAGGATTCGTTCTTATTCTCATCCTTAGGCGTAACAAATGACGAGCACCGTGATCAATACTATCGGTTTCTTCAGCTATCTATTCACATCACCACTGGGTTTTATCGGTCATGCATGCAGTCTCATCACATTTCTATCAAAACCTCTTCGTCTCACTTCGACCGGATTACTATTTATTTTCTTCACAATCTCCGATATATTCTATCTATCGATATTTATCCGTGATTTTCTTGCGATAACTCTAGAAGTGCCAATATTGCGAAGCAATCAATTATGTCGTTTTCGTGCCTTTATGACTAATTTCTCGGCTGTCACATCTAGTTGGCTTCTTGTTTTAATTGCCACTGATCGACTGATTCGTGCACGTTTTCCATATCGACAAGCGCAAGTATGTACAAAAAGAGTGGCTGCCTGGTCAATTGCCGTTGTATCTGTGTGTTCAACTGTGTTTACATGTCATGTTCTTCAACCGGAATATGGCTACAGTAATCCGACGAGTAATATTTGCGGAACACCTCGCTCTCCTATGACATCTTATTCAATATTTTTCCTTAATACTTGGCCTATTCTTCAATTACTAATTACTTATTTACTTCCAAGTTGTTTGATGACTATTTGTGTAATCGGAGTTCATTCTAAATTGCGTGTACAACGAACTCTAGTGATGACATTGACGATCAGAAGGGAGAAACTTCAACGGCATATGCTCATTTTGATGATTTCAAATGTGACCTGCTTTGTGATTTGTACATTACCTTATTCTATTTGTCGAATTCTTATTCAACGATTCGGACTTACATCGACTACAAATAATGTAATATCGATATTGTCAATTTTTCTTAATATTAATTATAGTTACAACTTTTATATTCAT